CAGGTGGAGTCCCAAATGACCTCAAGCTATCACAACCTTTCAACTTATTTCCGCAATTTCTCGAATAGTAATAAAGGTGGCACAGTTTGATAGCTGACTTCTTCACTTGGCCCATGGCGAGAAGGGTTCACTACCACCAAGATCGCTCTTTTGAATGAATTCATTCGTTTTCGTCAACTTTCTCACCCGTGCCACGGAAATTCCTTGCATCCCATATTTCATCCTGCCTAACCTCGAAATGGTAGAACATGGCTGAATATTTCATTTGGATGCGCAGCAGCTGCGCTTTTGGAGGGATACTGCTAACGCACAGTATGCCATGACCAAATGAAGTACACAGCCATGTCCCTCCTCCTCCTCACATCCAGAATCATCTTGAACTTCTGTGCATGGTCCTGTTACGAAACCCTGTGACGCAGACGGATAGAGGCAGCGGCTGCCAAAGCATCGAAACGTGGAAGAACATATGGCGAGCCAGGAAACGGGCTTTTTCAAGGGGAGGGGACTCCGGGGTGGGTGAGCTACTTATAATCGGTGAAAAGCTGGAACGTGCGAAGTCACAACGGCCATAGAGTGCCATGCGGACGAGAGAGTGCAGAGAAAAAGAGAAGATCGACGCGTTTGAAGGGATTGAGTTCAAGTTGTCCGTAGACCATCCAGAATGTAGTGAATGTGGACTGAAAACCTTTTCCGAACGGGCGCTCGGTACTTGCGCGTTAAGTGAAGATCATTAAACGTATTAAAGGAAAGTGACATGATAAATCTCAGTGTAGGATTAATGTTTCGGCGCCTCTGAGCCGACGCTGCGTAGCGCCTTTTACGAGAAAAGTACTCTTATAGCGTCTTACTAGGTGCAACATACCGAGCCGACCGCCCGTTGCGCTCCCTGCCTCCCCCGCCCACAAATGTCCGACTGGTGCTCGTGTCGCTTCATTTGCGAAATACAAAATGAAGCGGCTGCGGTGCTGCATGGATATATGGATACACACTGCAGCTACCAACTGTAGCGGTTATTGGCACAATGCCACGGGAAACTCGTCCAAACAGTTCCCTGAGTCATGTAGGAGGCCTCTTTCGGAGGTTGTTGACCGTTTCACTTGGCTTTTTCGCCATTTTCCCCCTTTATATACACTTTACATCACCGCAATTGTCGGGTCGCAATCAGCGGCTCGCACCTGCGGCGTTTCCATCATTGGTTGCTCCCTCCCTAAATCGATCTTTACCCGATCGCCATTGGTAGAGCAACGAGGCCGAACGCCCATTTGGACCGCGTTGCACAGCCGCCTCCGACAGTCCGCAATGATGAGGACGGACCCCTCCACATTAGCCTAAAAAATTATCGTGCTTTATGCCTTTATGTCCCCCCCCCCCGCCTCCCACAATCCAATCATGCACATCTAATATGTGTTCAAATCAGGGAACTCTGTGTAATTTGCAGGCCTCTCAAAATCCACCCCATCTCATTTTCATATTTTACCACGTGTTCATCGAAATTTATCCTTTCAGTGGCTGGATCAAGTTCTCAAGCACATGACACCTCCACCTCGACCGATCTCATCGATATCATAACGTCTTGGAATACGAGAAAATCGCCGGCAACCTCAGAACATCAACTTGAAAAACATTCGAAGAATTAAACACTTCATTACAGTTTTAAACAACCATATAGTTCGAAAATAGTTATTCAATATCAAAATAACATAAAACTCGATAGTTAAGGGACAACGATAGCTCCTAGAAGGCTTCGGACAAAAAAAATCGCCGCGCTTCATGCGAAAATATGAAAGAGTTCCAAACGACCAGCGTGCGAAGGAACTCGTCCAGTTGCAAGCCGGACGAGTTTTCACCTAGACGACTGGATTTGGATCGTCACGCACGAGTAATAGATTTGCTGTACGAGTTGTGCTACCGCACGATAATGAGCATCGAAAATGAACGAAAAATACAAACTACATGTGAGTCCCGCACGTGTTCTTTTGATAATGAGATAACTGAAATTCATCTAATTTCCTGTAGAAAGCGACAAGGCGATGTATACTAAGCATATGCACAGGCAAAAAGCTAAAACTGATTTTGAAGGGAAGCGCCATGAAGGCGTAGATGATAAGAAATCAAAGGAGTAGGAATTTTCTTGAGGGGGACATGAACACCGGGAAGCATCCAAAGTGTTAGCAATTAGCGATAACAGCAACCGTGAGAATTAAAATGATGGTTTATCAACAATAGAATACGCGAGTAAAGAAACAGCATAAAATTCAATAATAAATTCAATTCAGAATAGTGTACCAGTAATGGATACAACTTTTATCCCTGAAACACTCGAGAGAATGTTCGAGAAAATGCATTAGCAGAAGTGTGACAATCGTATATCAAGGATGAAAAGCACCTAAAACTCCAAAATGACGTCACTTCTCAAGAGCTCAGAAGTGAGTTGATGACGTTTGCGTTCGTTGAATGTAGACTTCCAACAGGTGAATCTGAACGAGACGCACTGATTGAAAACTGATGAACCTATACAAAACAGTTGGAAAAGCATATGGACGTAGTAGGACTACCTCGCAGTACCCATATACGTACTGGGCGGTGTACTCGCCGCGCGCAGCACGTAGGAAGGATATTCGCCAATTGGAGCTGGCTTATACAATGTACAAACCATTAATTTCAGAGGCAATGCCCACGACCACTTCAGCGCATTCATACTTCGCGATCGCGCGATCGCATTGCTCGACTGGATCGCGCGGTCGCATCGCTCGACTTTATCGCGCGATTGGATCGCTCGACTGGATCGCGAAGTATGAACGCGCTCTGAGAATTATCCATGCTGTTCATAGGTGAGGTAGTGTGGACTGCAACGAACAACCCTATATAAGTTTCACGTCAGAAAATGGTTAGGCAGCGGCGGTATCGATCACTTCATCGATTATTTATCTCTCGCTTGGCACAATTTGGGCCTTATTTGGAGCGTCATCGGCGGTTTCCTCAACTAATTCTTCGCGGGCAAGTCAAGCAGCACGTAGACTTTTGGTTTCCAAGCCCTCTCC